TATGCTTCCTAATGACATCACCTAGGGGATGGAATTGAACAAATCTCCAAGGCTGAAGTGCAGCAAGAAGTAAGAAGTCGAACCTATTTTCTAACTGTATTCATCTAAACTACAAAATAAATAACTTCACTGCCAAAAAACACCCTATTTTTATTAGATTAGTGTTTATTTGTGTTTATTACAATGTTATATTGAAAACCAAATACATTAGGTGCTGGGGGGTGTAGTGGCATGCCTTAACAATACTGAATAAACCTGCAAATGACATTATCAATTAAAACTAATTTTTGTATGGTGAGGGGCCCATTAACTGTTTCTGTTCTGGGGCCTACAGGATCCTAGAGATATGAGGGAGGGTTTTGTTTTGATTTTTCTTCTCTATGAGATTGTAAAATTTCTAGATTGTAGAAAATGTGCATGCACGAATGCTAATTTCTCCTTGCTGAAGAAAATCAAAGCTAGAGTGCTGCTGGCAAGGTATAAACATTTATAACAAGGGTGCTCTATGGAAAGGGGTTAATACTTAAATGTAATTCGTTTCTGTACTAGTTTTTTGTGTATCTTGACTGAAGTATTTCCATTTTAGGTGACTTTTTACTTTCACTCCACTACATTTCAAAGTCAAATATCTTATTTTTTACTCCACTACATTATGCGAAATCTGTCATTCCTTTTGGTTTATGTGTGTATAAAAACATAACATGTCAAAACGAAACAAGCGTGAAGGAAGAACACCAATCAGGGCACAGGGCGCACTTTGTTTTGAGCTTGTTTTGACCTGTTGGTCATACCGACCCAGTGCAAGCATACAGTTTAATGTCAGTTCAGCAGCGGAAAATTTTGGGAGTGTCTATTCAACATAAATGATGAACTAACCTAACTTTGTGTAAATAGACCACAATATAGAAATATGTACACATATGCAGTTGTGACTGATGTGTCTTTTTCTGAATTTATACAAACACTATTTCATTTTATAGTAAATTTGTTTTTTGCTAGTTTATGTTTATGAACAGAGACCTACAGAAGCAGTATAGCAAAGGAAACTCATTTGTGAACCTGTGATTAAAGTAAGTTTTTATTAAACCTGAACTTGTACATTTCTTCTAAGTTGCAAATAAATCTTAAACTGAAACTTTGCTTGTTTGCAAAGTTATTTCAGAGCCACTCAGTTCTACCTAATGGAAATTGTTTGTCTTGTTTGTGTTTTGTGCTTATGATAATTTTAATAGACATCAGCGTCACTAATTAATGACATTCTATTAAAAGATTAGTTTACCAAGAGTGACACTGGAGTATTTTCACCTAAAATGAGTTAATGAAGCAGCGTCTTGTTACAAAAATTATAATAGAACATCAGAGTCATAATTAATATTTTAGTACTTTTACTTTCGATACTTAAGTACATTTGAAAGTAAATACTTTTGTACTTTTACTCAAGTGGAGGTCTAAAGGGAGGAACTTCTACTTTTACTGGAGTAATATTTTACCTTGGGTATCTCTACTTTAACTCAAGTACATGATTTGTGTACTTTGTCCACCACTGATACTTACTGACTTAATACTTCAAATACAGCAGCAGTCTGTGATGCTATTAGTTTCATCATGCTTGGAGGAGAGCGCTTATCTCTCACTTTACTGCACAGCTACACACCCCTGACGAATGTCCACTTCAGTTATGGCTGAGCAGCCCAGCAGATGTGGCGCAGGTGTGTAATGGCGGTTTTTTGTATATTGTGAATACTGAACTCGAAGCGAAAGAGGTGACCATATATTATGTCTAAACGGGCTCAGTGAGAACAAAGTCGTAAACCCGAAATCCACTGTTTATGCATGTCAGTCAACAAATAAGTACTGTTTATTCTGCGCTCGGTCCCCATCTAAACGTTTGGAAACAGATGGTTAGCTCACAGTGCGCATCGCTGCTTTAGGCTGCTTTTGTTTCCCCCTGCTTCAATGCATCTGCACTTAATTCCAGACAGTGATCTCATGTTTTCCATAGATGATTTCGTTTTGCTAAGAAAGCAGAACTGAAAAGGGCTTAGAAGTTGTGCTGTAAGGAAGATTCTGGCACACCTGAGGACCAGCTGAGGAGAAATGATGCCTTTGATACACAGACTCAGCTGTCATCTTTCGGAGATTAGAACAAATGTGTGCGTTTAGAAGCTGCATGCTAATCAGCCCAGACCCATCCGTCTTGGTAGCATGCATCCAGGTTTTTAACGAATCACTTGGCAGTGCATGATTGCGGTTTCACATAACCTACTTTTCCATATTATATGGGTGACTTGGGCGGAGTGCGCTGGAGAACACTGAATAAGCCCGAATGTTACATGAACTTAAATTGCTCTCGTGCCTTTGGCACGTTGACCGCTCGCGTCCCCAGCGTTCTTTTGAACTCCCTGCTACTTGGCAGCCATGACCTCTTTGCTTAGAGCTTTTGTCCAGCAAAAGTTCAAGCTGGGGTCAGTGTGGCGACTGTGTGTTCAGGGGTCCTAGAGAGAAGGCACTCCGATGGCCATTCCATTTGCACTGTCGTCCAAAAAAGTGCTCAGTCCAAACTCGTTGACGTCAAAGCAGATCAATTGGCGGTCAACCAGTGTCATGATAAGGTACTTTCTTCTTATAGTCATGCAGTCCATGATGACTGGTCCAGCTTGCAGTTAACATGACACACATTCGACGGGCAATGGATGTTTTTTCTGTTTCAAAGCACTGCGTCAGTATCCATTTTCCTGTAAATGCCATCTCTGATTTACAGTGACTGATTAAAAGTCCTGCTCATTTTTGGCAGGAAGGCATACTGGTCCCAAAGAATTGCTTCTTAGGGACTGAATTTAATGTAGTCACAGCTCATTTTTCTTTCTTACTTCATATGCAAGCGGTAGTTTGAGCTTGCAGCTTTGTAGAGCTACTAGCCATCTAACTACCCAACCGTGCCCCCTTTTCCTCAAACTCTCTAATGAAGCCGACCACATGAACACATTTTTCATACGGCCTCCTCTGGTTCCAAAAAGGACATCCTTGTAAATATCATTGCTCTGACTAAAGCCATTTCATTTTGACAGCGTTAAGGCCTAGAAATGCAACCACAGCACCTTCACTAGATTCATCATTGAAAGATGAGGTTATGGGAGGTAGGAATCCAGTGTATTGCCATGGTGACCACAGGATTACAGGTCCATGACTGAAGCCAGAGTGGACCACACCCTACACCCTTCAGCCTCCTCAGGCTCCTCTGTAGAGCTTGTATTTTGCTAAACCCCATGGGACCTGGCTAGTCATGTTGGAGTTTGGTCAAGTTTTGGCATAATTTCTCAAATATTTGCTGGACTGGTTTTCACCTTCAAGTCTCCCAGTTTCAACAGATTTTGGCCTGCATTTATCCCTGCTCAAGTCTTTGTCCTTATTTTATTCTTCCTCCCTATTTTTATTACCCTAAATGTTTTTTAATCTGCTATGCTGGACTCATTGGTGTTGTAGGAAGGACTTGGCATTTTGGTTAATGAGGCCAACATACAGTTGGGTTCAGACTATTTTTAATTTTTTTTGGTGGGCCAGAATCGGAATGGCAGAGGATTGTGTGAGGCTACAGTCTTTTTGGGGTTTTAGTTGGTTTGGGGTAGAGTTTTGTTGAAATATGGTCGGGTTTTTAGGGCAAAGTTTCAGGCCTAGTTGGGAAAGAATTTTGTTGGGCTTCGGACTTGGTTGGCATATCGAGACTGAATTTTGTCAGGCTACGCTCAGGTTGGAATGGAGTTTTGCTGGGCTACCAACAGACCGGGATAGAATTTGGTTGCTCAGTCGAGTTGGGACAGAATCTTGTCACCCACAGTCATGTTGGGATGGAAGAGTGTTTTTTCAGACTGTTTCAGAGATTTTTCCCCAATCAAAAATTTTGACTGGGCCAGAATTTTGTTGGGTTGCGGTTGGGTTAGGACAGAATTTTGTTGGGCTGCGATCGACTTAGAACAGAATTTTGTTGGGCTGCAGCTGGGTTAGGACAGAAATTTGTTGGGCTGTGGAAAGATTGGAACAGAATTGTTGTGAGATAGTCAAGCTAGAACAAGATTTTGTGCGGCTACAATTAGTACATACTCTAAATTTGGGATCAAGAGTCAGGTCGGGTGGGTCTTGGGTCAGGTTCAAATTTGAAATCAGCCCTAATTCCACTCCACAGCCTCCTTGAGATTTACTCAGAGAGTGAGGATTTTTTACTTTAAAATAAATTATCTATGAGGATAAGAAACAAGATCTTTTAACTATGATGCGACAGTTTCTGGGTCAAGAAATGGCTACAGTATCGATAGAGCATTCCAAAATTATTGCCACCCTTGGAGAACAAAAGTCTCTGGAAAATCATTAAAAGTTCTGATTCTTCTAGCTTTTATTTCTCTAGCATTGATTATATTTTGCCATAAATGTACTTTTACATATATATTTTGGGGAAAAGTCCCTTCCTTGATTGACTACTGGACTGCTTAACTTCTGCCTTAGGATGATGTGGGTGGGTAAAACAGATCTCTTATTCATTTTCTGCAGTGTATCTCTGAAATGGTAAGTTAATGTAACTATTTTATTCCAAGCAAGTTTGGACCAGGTTTCAAATGGTCTGAAAGAGTTACAAGTAGATTTACAAGTAGGTAGACCAGTCATTGTCAAGACTATGTGTCTCTGGTTGTGGTAACACATATGCATGATGTTTGGTGTATAGCTGGATGCTGACTAGTGTGTTAATGTGCACATGCAGCCTTTCATCTTTAACTGAGGGCACTCACAGTGAGGAATTCACCACTAAAGCAACTTTGTGTAATTAAATGTGGATTTGCCTGCTGAGGTGACAGAGTTTAAATTTAATGGTGAAGGAGAGAGTTTTGTATGGTTGGTGTGTGAGAGTGAGAGCGAGAGAGAGAGAGATACTGGTACGGGAGGGTGTGTGCACTCTGTGCACCCATACAAGGAGAGAAGTTGGGGGGGGGGTATAGAAGGGGAGGGAAAGAGAAAGAGAGGAGGGGAGAGAGAGAGAAAGAAAAAGACAGGGTAGAAAAGAGCTTTGTGCTGAACATCTCAGACTGTCCTGCTGTATCTTCCTACTGACCAGGTATGAGCTACAGTGCTGAAATGCATCTCTCTCTCTCTCTCTCTCTCTCTCTCTCTCTGTGTCTCTCTACCTATGTCTCTCTTTCTCTCACACTGCTGTTTCAGCATCTTTCTGCTTCTGTTTCTCACTTTCTCTTTCTCCTCATTTCTGTGTCCCTCTCTCTTTTCTCTTTCCCCATGTCTTTCTCTTCGTCTCTTTTTCTCTTCATGTATCTGCATGTTACTGTCTGTCTCTGTCTCCCCCTCCCCTTTTATCTCTCTTTCCATCGTCACTCCGTCTCTTTCTCTCTCTTCCTCTCTCTCTTTCCATGTCACTCTGTCTCACTCAGGCTCTCCTTGTCTCTGTCTTTCTTTCTCTCTCTCCATATTTCTCAATCTCTCTCTCTCTCTCTCTCTCTCTCTCTCTCTCTCTCTCTCTCTCTCTTTCTCTCTCTCTCTCTCCATGGGATGCATATTTCTGGTGTGTGGCTCTAGCACCCGTGCTGTCCACTGTGGCAAAGGTGAAATCTCGACTTGCTTCTGTGCTTCTCTTCTTTCCTTCTCTCTCTCTCCCTCTCTCTCTCTCTCTCTCTCTCTCTCTCTGTCTCTTTCTCAACCTGATGTCTCTTTGAAGAACAGTGCCCTCTTCCTGAATGATTTAACATATGCTGCTCTCCCCTTGACCAGTTACTCACTTTTTTCCCTTCTGCTCTCTCTTCTTTTCTTTCATTCATTTCTCGCTGTGGTTTCTGTGTTTTGCACGAGCTTGAAGCGGCAGCTTCTCTCCTGACCTCTTTCTGCGATGCATATTGCTTGACGCTGCATGTGGCTCCGTAATTACACTCTCTGTCTACGCCGTGCCTTTTTTCTTTAAGTGGTAAGAAGCCGCGAGCACTTTTCTTTGGCGCTTTTCCGCCTCTCCTGGTTTTTTATTGTGTCTGGTTCATGCTTGGGGCGGAGAGTTGCCGTCTGAAAGCTGAAGATGTTTGAGGGTGTGTGTGTGTTTTGCGGCTGGCTCCGCTGAAGAGGGCAAATAAAGGTTGGTTTGCTTTAGGTCAGTGGGACTGAAGCCTGAGGCTGGGAACCGACAGTATTGGCTGAGTCCTAAATCACTGCCACTTGTGCTTTTAACTCTTTACAAAATAAAATAAGTTTTTAAAAATAAAATTTAATTAAAATTTTGTTCTTTGCTTGCAAGTGGCATACTACAGATTCAATGCAGTATCATAGAAATAATAGGGGTCACCTGAGAAACTGGGGAAAAGAAGGGATTTTTCCAGTTCATGAACCTCATCAATTAACATTCCATACCTGCTACTGTTATGTAACATCCAGTGTTCTTAGTATTTCATCAGGTTAAATGGGAAACTCCGCTATTGCACCTCTAATTAACATATGTCCATGAAAAAAAAGTATTTGGCATGTTTCCAAATATATCAAACCAGGCCTCTGCCTGCATTTGATTAGAAAGAGTTCTCTACCTGATGCATTTGTGGAATATCTTTGGAGTGTGTGCAATAGCAAGGAGTTTGCATAATAGAAAGATGCAACACAGTAATTGAGTTTTCTGGGCTTGCATTGTCTTCTGCAGATCACCGTGGAAAGGCTGACCTCAACAAGAGCGTGACATGTTAACATTCTCTCTGTGCCCCTTGTAAACATCTTTGTTTGGTTCTCTAAGATGTCTTATGACAGTGCAGTACAGATAATTACACAGTGCCTCACATTTTCCAAGAGACGTTTCGGCAGGTTCTTCAGATCTATGGTCCAAATAACCTTAATGTAGATGCTCGCCGTGGATCTGTAGAACCTTTTTCCCCCAAGCAGTTATACCTGTGATTAAAACATGTTTAAAAATGAGCAAAGCCAGACTTTGCCCAGGAAACAGTTAGACATTAGGTCATCTTAGTCATAGTCAGTATTGTCCCAAACTAATTTCTTATGTCTGTTCTGGTGACCAGGATGATCCCCTGCTCTGTCCTGCGTGGGGCTGTTTCCTAAATCATGCTCGAGTAATATTACAGTCCCCATCAGCTATAAATATTAGCAGAAACTGCCAGCTGCACTTGCTTGCTTTAGCCTTTTGAACTGTAATTATTCAGATATTAATCTAAAACTCAAAGAACAGTGATCTAGTGTTCTCCAACAAGCAACAAACAAAGCCAAACAGTGGGTTGGTATGCAAACCTCTGTGTGATTGTTGGGTGCACACTGTTCTACATGGTTCTCCTCCCCTTGATTCACACTGTTCTTGAATGTTCCCTCCCTGATTCACACTGTTCTAGAATGCACTTCTCTCGATTCACACTGTTTTAGAATGCCCCCCCTCTTGATTTACCTTCTTAGTGATTGAACACTGTTGTTATCTGCTTTATATTATTCTTTTTTCTTCTTCTTCTTTTTTTTCTGCCAGATTTTTGTCCACTAACTCGTTCTTGTTTCTTCCATTCATTTGAGTCCCATTCATTTTTGCCCCCCAACAACCTCTAATATTTCTTTGCCCAGCAGCCACCAGACAACATGTACTTACTCAAGGGAGGTCCCCAAGCGCTAATCCATAGCCATGCTGACATGCACTCCTCTATGTGTCGTTTTTTTCTTCCCTCTTTCCTCCCATAGACTCCCATTCATTATTGCTCCTACACAAGCCCTATTATTTCCATTGCCAGACAGCCACCAAACTGCATGTACTCAGTCAGGGCAGGTCTTAGTTTTAATCCACAGCCATACTGACCCACACTCCTCTATGTGACATTTTTTCCTCCCTCGTTCCTCCCATAGACTACCATTAATTTTGACCCACACCCAAGCCCTGTTCTTTTCTTTCTCCGAGAGTCACCAAACTGCATGTACTCAATTGCAGCAGATCCCCAAGCTCTAATCCACAGCTGACCCCTCACTCCTCCATGTTTCATTTTCTCATCCCTTGTTCCTCCCATAGACTCCTATTCATTTTTAACAATACCTAGCAACCACTTGGCTACCTAAAAATCACTCAGTAAACACCTTGTACACCATGGCAACCTTCTAGCAAGACCTTAGAAACCAACCCTTATACCATAGCAACCGCTTAGCAACTGCGCTTAGCAGCAGCTCTGCATTTTCTGTAGTAAATGCACTATTCTAGTTAGTTGCAATGTGCAACACTATTGTTATTTATTCTTTTTCTTATTTTTTCTAAAAAATTTTGCCTGATCTTTGCTAACTCTTCCTGCGGTTTTCAAGATATCGACACCGTTCCAACTCTGTAATGTTCGGTCTGATTGGGAATGGTGTTCTAGACTGTTCTCCTCCTCGTTACACTGTTCTTGAATGGTCTCTCCATCGTCCACACTCTTCTGGAACATTCTCCTGCCCATCCTTCACACTATTACGGAACATACTCCTCCTCAATTCACACTGTTGTAGATGGTTTTTCTTCCATTCTTTATATAATATAATATAATATAATATAATATCATTAATAAAGTCGACTCCCAACATTAGAATATTGGTGTTTGTTGGGGTATGGTGAGTTACTGTGCCATGGCATTTAATCAGGCTTATTATCCAAATAGGGTCAACTAGAACACTAATGTACTGTATGTAGTTATGAGAGTGAGGATGGGAATCCTTAGAGTTTATGAGGTTAAACTTATTCTTATACTAACTAAGGTTTACAAGCTGATCATAAAAATACCAGTGCACAGGACACAAATGGAGCCCAGTCTCTGATCTGGAGGACCGATCTCATTACAGCTGGTTAGTTAGTTAGAGGAAAAGTCCCACTGGACAGGTTAGTAGTCTGGGTCTGAGCTGGTGAACTGGTGTCCTTTGGGACATTTTCCTCAGTAGCTTTGACAGACAGGACAGGATCTGCACCAAACCCTCCGGACTGACCCGTGCCACCCGCTGCTGACCACTGCATTTTCGCTTCATATGCACAAACCCACACTCGGATGCTCAGACATGGGATGTAAATAGCTCAGCCGCTCTGGCTTTGCTGTTGTAGTGCTATTTTAATTCTGCCAGGCAGTAAATCAGAGTGTGGGCATACGCGTGAGAGTGTGTTTGTACGTGCTTGTGTGTGTATATGTGCAAGTGAGATGACAGAAGGCTTGTCAGGTTGTCATGGGGTTTGATTTATGCTGATCTGAGGCTCTGGGTGGAGCTGTACGGTGGCAGGAGAGAGTGCAGAGAGAAGGACCTGTTGCACTATTGTCCCACTCAATCATCACGCTCCATCATCATCTGGCCCTCTGCAGTCCTGACAAAAGCTTTATTTTAAGCGCTGGCCCATGAACCATGTCTTTCTCTATATAAAAGAGCTTAGGTATTATGAAATGGTTTGAATTGGCGGTCATTTGACCCCTAGTTAAGAGCAATCGAGCACATTGTGGTCACACTGTGACTTGGCATCAATAGTTGAGTGTCAAAGGCAGTCCAGAAAGTAATACTTAAAATGGGTTGGTGGTGAAGGCTGACATAATAGAATACTCAGAGTACCTCAGTTGTTTGTGCTCTTTTAAGGCTCGAGATGATGACAAGAAGAGACACAGATGAAGCCAGTCAATCTTTAAATATTCTTGGGTACTTAACAAGTGGCAGAAATAAGCGCCTTCCCACAGACTCTGACTTCAGCTTTTAATCACAAAGGATTTGAGAGGCTTGTCTGAAAACCACACGCTTGGTGTGAAGTTATGTAACACCTTCCTGAGCAAATGCTTATTATATCATCCAGAATTACTGCTCAGAATTAGATTGAAGATAATTAGGAGGTGCATTTCGTTCCGTTCATCTGCAACTACAGTGCCCACAATGTTTATTCAAAATCACTCACACTTTTAAAAGGCATACTTATAGACAGTTTTGGGATAGTTCTTCAAAAAATGTAATCCATTGCTTTTTAATTTACTAATTACTTTTCTTTAAATATAACGAGTTCATGTTAATCTCTTTACTTATTACTTTACTTCTACAATACTCTGTACAAAGGTAAAACCCGATAGTTCTTCTCAGTAGTTTATTAAAAAAGAAGTAGTCAATCACAGTAAACATCATTTGATGCCAGTTATGCTGATTAAAATTATGAATACAAAATATAATAAATTATATAAAACAGAAATTTTCAATACTTTTAATACTTTCATATTGTATGTTACATTATATGTACTTTGTAAATTACATGTATATTTACAGCACTTTCTGCACTCACGTACAAGCACAGACAGGTAATATATATAGAGATAGTTAATTTTAAATGCGTGGGTCATAATTTATTCATAATTCATCATTTACAACCACCTGGTGTGATGTGGCAATGGCCTTGCAACACCTGAGCAACATCATGGGATCCATAACAGCCTAGCAACACCTTAGCCACCACTGGGATACCATAGCAACTGCTTAGCAACATCTTAGCAGCCATCTGGCATACCATAGCAACGGCCTTGCAACACCTTAGCAGTCATTTGGGATACTATAGCAATGGCCTTGCAAGACCTTTGCAACCATCTGGCATTACAAAGCAACAACTTAACAAACTTACCTACATATTTGGCCAAAAAGAACTAAAATCACACACCAAATCTGTACTATATGAGCACCGACTGCTAAAAAGAGAACTAAAACAGAGGGTTATCGCACCAGGCCACTTTTCACCGCTCTAGCACACATGGTTCAACTCAGCAGCTAATTGTCAAGTCTTTTCCTGGCTCAGTCAAATGTGTTTAAGCAGGGCAGAACACTGCAGCGTTGTGGCAAAACAGAAGTGCAACGACTTTTTTCTCACTTTATATCTACTGCAGATGATGTCATCTGAGGTCTTCCCCCCTGGTTGGCTGCAGCACCTGCTTGTCGTGCTACTGAAGCTTACCCTCTCCTGTGCCTCCCCAGTGAAAGTGGCCAATGGGACGGCGTGCACGGCACGAGGACCCGCCTCTTACATTCTAGTATTTACTGGCCACTGGAGCCCTATGACGTTCCCGAAGCAGTACCCTTTATTCCGGCCCCCTGCGCAGTGGTCCAAGCTTGTCGGTAAGATGTGTCCAAAGCACAAGTAGAGCCAACTAATCCAAATATTATACTGTCTTTGGTTTATCTCCCTTATTCTGATCATGTGACTTGCAGTTTCTTATTTCATAATGCAACAAAACAAGCCATATCGCCCCCAACACTTCCTATGTTGTATTGCAGTCTGTCAGAATGACCACATTTTACCCAGAAGAAAATTGATTATTACTGAAATGTTGCTATTTTGTTGACTTGTTCAGGAAACAAAGGGAAATGTGAAATGCTCTTTTCTAGATAAAACTAACTGTGTCAGATAGGTTCACAGTGGTTGCAGTAGGAACCAGACATCTTTTTGATGTCTCTAAAAGATCCCTCACTGAATGTTATTAAATGAAATGGATATGGATACACAGCCTGATGCCTGAGATATTATTTTACGATAGTTTTGAGATGTACTTTTTACTATTATGGTGGAGTAGGACATACAGGCTGTTGTAAGGTAAAATAGTCCTCAAGAGAAAACATGTAAATAAAAAATATTTTCAGATTTACCACTATTTCACCATTATCAACATTAAACATAAAAACTCAGACGACGCGTGTCAGATGGCGGTTTACCAGTTGTTTTGGATACTAAATAAAATGTCTATATTTGTGCAGTAGACATTGCTGTTTCATCTCCACTGTAAAGAAAATCTTAATTAGTACGTTTCTCTTCGTGAACCATTTCACATCAAACCACTCTGAATGACCACAGAATCATGCAGAAATTGTGGAAAATCAGTGTAATTCCCTTTTAAAGTTGTATGCAGAAAAGAAGTTAACACATCCTCTACAGAGAACACACTTCTGCACATTTTAATGCACAAATACTCTTTATTTGCTGAATTTAACATGTTTATAGATGTTAAACTCAGCAAATAAATAGGCATTGTGCACAAGCATTTGCAGAAAAAAATGCCCTGTAAAAGACGTGTTAACTTATTTTCACTTACAAAATGAACAAAGCATATAATTGGAATTTAATTCTGATCCTCCTAAAATTCCTTAGGAGAAATAGCCTCAGACAAAAGGGAGACATTTCTGGGAGATACATTTTCAAGGGAGATACCTCTGGCCTCAATAAGCATTATAATAGTTACTCACAGCATCAAAACTAAGAAGGCTCTAAGTGTTGGATGAGAAATGGTTGAGTTCCTGAATTCAGTTGCAGTATCCTGGCAAATCTGAGCAACTTTTGGCTTTCCATCTGACCTCATTGTTGTCCAGGAGAAAATAGGTATATATTAAAGATATCTCTTTAATATATACCTTTTTAAAAGAGAATTTTCTTTTCTGTGTAAAACAATAAAGAGTGATGTTATAGTTAAGTAAACAAAGTATTGAATAAAAATGTTCTTCATAGTCATCGGCGACACCTAAGACTGACTTGGTCAACTTATATAGTGTCTTATTAGCAACTATATTGACACACTACCAGACACCAGGGCATCCTTGGTCCTCTGCTGGACTTTTGGGCTGAGTGTGAGGTGTGACAGTGAAAGCCCCGTCTGCCTGGGCTGCATCCGGGGAGCCGAGGTTGACCACTGGTGACCACTCTGCGACCGCAGTGCTGTTCCCAGTGGGAGGTGGAGTGGGGGGCAGTCTGGCCAGAGCATTTCCTCACCTTGTGATGTGTCAGGAGGCTGAAGACTCGCAGCTGGCCTGTTAACCCACCACAGTGCCGTCCACTACTATAACCCCCCCCACACACACACCTCCCCCCGGCACCTCCTGTAATGGGAGTGAGACAGCCTAATGAGGAAAGCAGAGGGAGAGGAGGAGAAATAGAGAGAGAGGGAGGAGGGTAACTGTTACCAGATGATACAGGTTACCCTACAGGTTCCCAGTATCTAAGGAGGAGAGGGGAATTATTCTTCTATGCACTTTTACATAAACATATTACATATACTTAAGCCCAAGTGGTCTGCAATGGCCATTCACTTTAATGGCAGCTAGTCTTTGGTGCACATAAAAATCCTTGCAGTTATACCTCAAGGCAATGCCGTCCAAGTGAAGACACAAAGATGGACGGCTCAAGCCAAGCCAAGATCCTAGTGTGATTGCCGGATTAAAACCAGAATATAGGTTTTTGTTTTATTTTATTGCTCTCCTGCGTCATTTTGTAATCACTTGCTTTACAATTACAGTTGATTATCATTCAGTTATTAACTGTAATGAGGAGATCCCATCTCCTGAAGCTTTCAAGAGACAAAGAGCAAGATGGTTAGCAGAGAAGGAAGGGAAAGATTACTGTGGTTTTGTGGTAGACTTGCCTGAGTTTTGGACTCTTGGCGCTGACTAATGATGTTCATGCCAGACCAGTCAGACACTGTGTGCGGACGGTTGAGACATGCCTGTGTACCCAACAACATTTGCATCATTGTGTCTCTTCCCCTCGTCACCTCACTTTAAATATCTGCCAGACCATGATGGTTTCTGACGACATAAGACAAAGTTGGACATTAAGGATATGCTTAATGACTTTGAGAGCCTCCTCTAAGCCTCTTGTCTTTGCTCCCTCAAAAACCAATGAGCGAATCTGCTCGTGATGTTCTCATACTCGAAAGGTCTGGTTTGGCCAGTGAAATTTCATGGTTTGCTAAATAGGATATATTGTGCCTTCATCCTCCTGATTCCTGGAGACCTCAAACCTGCAAATGTTTGCTGATTTACAAGAAAACTAATTGTACAGGCTTCTGGAAAATGGTTCATGTTGGTTCATGGTTCATGGTTTGTGTTCTGAATAGTGCTGATGCTGAACACAGATGGAGGTGAGAGTTTAGACAGTGAGATATGGCAAGAATCTGCATCTGATATAACGAGCTGCACAAAATTGTGTTTATGTTCAGGTCTCACCCTTTTGTTTTTCCACAACCCAGATCACCTCTGAACTTAGGGTGGAGGATGGGCCACCTTCCTTACTGGTTATAAGGGAGATTTTTTACAGCGGCCCTCTGTTTTCCCTCATGTATGCTGTTAAATGCTTTTATGAGCGTTAGCACTCCTGCATTTCTTTGAATGGAATTTCACTGAAGTTCAGAGTGTGTTGAAAGTGAGGCAGAAGTGTGGCATTGGCAGGTTTCAGCTATAATTGAGAGTGTGAATGCTTAAGGGGGCTGGAAGCTACTGCAGGGGATGTTTTGCACAGTTGCAATGTTAGGAAATGCACCATAAATAGAATATATAATTGAAAATGTTTCTGGGATTAATTGCCACGAAAAGCAATTTGTTTCGTACATTTGATCACTGACTTACTAGACTTATGATCAGATGGGTTATAAAGGCCCAACCCCATTCCTTTTTTTTACCCCTACCCCTTGTTTTCGAGTGTCACCCTAACCCTTTGGAACAGAGTTACAAGGGGTAGTGGTTGAAATCTTCCCCTACGAAATGTGACAACCCTCAAATAAAGAAAAACATTGCTTCATTAACAGGCTACTAGTGGTGCTCTGCAGGTCCTCAGTGATAGCAGAGAAGGGAAAAGTTCAGCAACCTCACTACTGGGCTTTAGTTACATTTAGGGCATCATATGCCTTCAAAGAGGGGGTATAAGACAATTATTTATTATGGCCCACCCCTAATTCTTTGGTGATACGAAGCTGAAGTCAGTTATTCGCCAGCTTCTTGTTTGAATTTTCCCATTCCACCTTAAATGGTGCAGCAGTTACATTCTGGTGCTTCAGGCGTCACTATTTAAGGTGGAACAGGAAAGTTAGCTAGCTGGCTACCAAGACATTAGCATACTATTAGTGATTTTTTATGCTTATTATGAAGAAAACAACCATAATACATTGATATAACATTAACCTAAGATAATACAATGATTATTGTAATTTTTTACCAGAGAAAATTCTCACATTTGTGGGTTTCTTTGGTCTCTTGTGCTCCATCTTGCCAGTTTTTCTTTTTTTCTCATAACACTCACACAGAGTGCCTCTGAAAAACCTCTGTTTGGAGGGTCATGTAGCCCTAACACTTCGCCCTACCCCTCTATCTCAACAAAATCGGGACACCCTACCCCTAGACATGAAAGTGCAAAACAGATGGCTAAGGGCTAAGTGGTAGGGGCGAGGGGTGAAATGGGATTGGGCCAAAATCTCTACCACCAAATCATACCTTACTATCTTTTCTTCCTCCTCTCTCCCATCTGTTTCACTACAGCCGTCACCCATAATGATCAGTACCGGCTGTGGCAGGAGGGAGCGCTGGCGAGTCCTGGCGTGCAGCATTTTGCTGAGTTGGGTGTAACAATGGAGCTGGTGAAAGGAGCGAAGGAGGCAAGAAAGATGAAGGCAGTGGGCTCCATGTACCGCACGGCCGGGATTCCCTCTGGCATCGGCCACAGCTCCACCGAGCTGGTCCTGCACCCCAGGAGCCCACTGGTACGTCCAGACTGAGACCAGACGGGACATGAGGCACTCACACACTACCAGCTGATTGTCACAATAACAATAGGCGTTCCTTACTTATAGAACTTAATTAAATCTCAGTTAGTTTTCCATAGTTTCTGTAATTACTGGATAATAAGTCATAGCATCTCATCAGCCTGGGAGTTTAAGATGTTAAATCAGTGTAAAAACATTAAACTCTGCAGTGTTGTGGACCACCAGGACCCGAATCTGATTACCCTGGCCTCTATTTGCTAACTCGGCCATTAATACCCATTATAAGGAGGCAAGGAAGTGATGAACCTCGACCCAAAACCTAGTCTTAAGATTAATCTCATTCCTTGTAAGCACATTCAGCATCTATTAGCACAGAAACTGAAGTTTATTAGGCTATATTCTTCTCAGTTTGGGAGCAGCTAAAGTGAGAGGTGTAACCAACAGCAAATCAGTCCAGGTGCTGAACCAACAGAAGACAATGAAACCAAATAAAGGAATTAATAAATTAATTGCAAACAATGAGGGAAGAGAAGATTCCTCAATTCCTTCCACCCAAAAAAAGGAGTAAAAATTGAATATATGCTTGAAAGCAGCATCAAATTTATACTCAAGAACATGAAATTGAGGGAAAGTAGCTAGTTACCATCCTCCTCTAGCAGGTATATAAGTCATCAAACATTGTCAATCAAGGGCAGGCTAACAAAGGCTAGCACCAATCTTGGCACTAATGCTAAGAATAGGCCAAAACTAAAAACACTTATATAGAGACTTAATAACATGTGAATAAGCAACGAATAACATATTTACAAAGCAATACTGAAATATTTATAAATAGCCTATGCCACTAATGACAAGATGACATAAGAAGTTTTATAATGTATTGACATGTGTCTAGTAAGTAAAGTTAATAACACTGTTATTAAGCAATATTTTCAAATAATAGAACCTGCCACTTTTCACTTCTGTTTATTTCTGCTTATCAGCTTCAGACATGAACACCTAAATCTGTTATTTGCACTTTTAATTTTGTACATTTGTACTCAAGTATTTCTCCCTTACTCAAGTACAGAACATGTATGGGACATGTATGTACATTCATACATATAGGAAATTTGTAAAAGAAACAAATATCCATCATAGTTTAAGACCCCTTATGCCAAATTACAGTGTAATTTAGTTCATTAAAAATTTTATGCAATTACTGGCACAAGCTTCATATATTGCTTTACAAATATGTCATTCAGTACTAATCAGTGCATGTGTTATGAAGTCCATGTACAGGTAGGCTTGAAATAAAATATTACCCTTATTTGACATTAATTTATATATGATGAATGTGGCTGTAGCTCCCGTCGCCTATAACAATAAGAAGAACCAGATCAGCTTTCCACAACCATCCATAGCTGCAGAAACCCTTAAACCACAACCTCCGCTACCCTCCCCTGTCCTGTGCCCACAGCTCTGGGCTGTGTCTCCAGCACCCTCAGCTCTCAGATGAATCTGTCGCCCAGATCTTTCTTCACCCCTCTCTTTTTTGGTTTATTTTATCTCAGTCTTGCTTTGCAGTGACTCACGGCTGCTGCTGGGTGTTTTATTGAAAGAGAGAAGTTAGTGGCTAAAACGGGCACGGGTGGTAATGTGGTGACCTACATATCTTTATGACCCATACAGGCCTATTTTCATTACCACGCACCTGCAGAAAAAAAGGAGCTCTATAAAACAGGAAAAAATGGCACTCTACTTCTCTTAGTTGCGTGCCTGGCATTGCTGCCTGCTCTTAGCTGATGGCGACGTGGTGGGATGTCTGCTGTGGCGAGGCTGTTTTTAGAACTGCAGGGCAGGGAGGCACAAGTGAGGTTATGATGACCAGTCGACGCGTATGCATGTGCATGGGCTTGTGTGTGTTAGGAGAGGCATGTGAGCACACTCCAGGGTGTGAGGAATGTGATATTTGTCTGTGTTTATCTGGCCTCTCACACCTGTCACACAAGTGCACTTGAACAAGGGGACACATACAAACGATGCTGACCACACAACATTCTCTCTCTCTGCTTTAGCCTTCGTCTTTCTCTGTCTCTTCTTGCTGTATCACCCATGCAGTTTCATTTATTTATTTCCAGTCAAAATGGCCATAAAGCACAAGTTATTCATTTTTCAGTACATTTCTAAAGAGGTTAGATGTAAGATAATTCACTTGCATAAGGAAGGGAAAAGTCGAAGGAAAATAAATGGGAAAAAAAATAGGAGTTTCCAAAACCGGAGCTCAAAACATACAGAGAAAATGCAACTCCTAACAACCACCTGAAAGACCTGGTAGACACCAAAACTGTCACCATCAGATAAACAGTATCTAAAGCTTTCATCTTTGAGAGAAAGGAGAAAATCACACTTAAAAAATGAACTGAAAAAATCCACACCCATCCTTCCACTGTGAGAAAACAACTCAGCGCTATGAGCCTGGACTATAACGTGGACTAAGGTTTTATAGACTGATGAGTCTAAATGTGTAACCGGGAATACTTGGGTCGTATAAAGGAGAAAATGCAACCCACTTCTAAGACTGAACTTTGGAAGTGTGGAAAAACATTATATGCAGAAAGCGAGTCTTCTTAGAATGGAAGCAGTAATAAAGGTAAAACGTAGACACACTAAATACTAAGAAGATGTGTATGTTTAATTGTTGAGGCTTCTGTGTAATTTTCTGTTAAATATGATTTCTGCTGTTTTTGCTGAAAATGAATAACTTGTACTTAGTGGCTGTTTGGACCTAAACCTAAATAAATGAAACAGCGGTCACTGACTTTTGTACAGTATTGGATACACTATATGTACACATATACACTATGTGTCCAAAAGTATCCAGACACCCCTTCTAGTTAGCAAATTTAGCTACTGTAAGGTTCACCCATTGCTGACACTGGCATTCAATTGCACACACAGAGCTTTCATGGAAAAGCGTTGCTAATAGAATACGACAGTCTAGAGTAGCTGCACTTCAGCCTATAGGTCACCATGCCCAATGACAAACACTGGCTAGAGGGGCATAAAGCCCCCCAGCATTGGGCTGTGGAGCAGTGGAACTGCATTCTCTGAAGTGATGGAGCTCCATCTAATACCTCTGGAATGAGTTGGAGTGACGTTTATGATCCAGAACTAATCATCCAACATCAGGACCTGACCTCACTAATGCTCTTGTGGCTGGATGCAATCAAATCCTCATGGCAATGTTCCAAAATCTAGTGTAAAGACTAGTCTTGATTTCAGAAGAAACACTAAAAAAGCAGGTGTCTACAAACATTCAGACAAATAGTAGATGTACACAGTTGTGCACATTTTAATGTACAATGTCTATTTATTTCAATTTATAAAAAAGTATATATATATATATATATACACAATTGACCAAGCCCAAGGTATATATAATATATATTGGTATGTGGCCATGTCCTGACATTGTATTAAAAACAAACCTGTGTGTGCACTTAGGTCTTTGTGGGAACCAAATATTCCCGGGATGATGGAAAACAGGAATATTCTGACATGAGAGAATATTGGAATGAGAAAAGTGATTTTTATTTAAAAACCACAACTTTTATTTGAAAAACTAAAAGCAAAAAGATGTGCTGTTGCTCTCTGAGGTTTAGGTGAAGGTTGGTTAGGAATAGCACAGCATCATTTCACTACAGGCACACAGACGTCTGTGAAATACTTCAAAGAGATCGAAATGCAAATGGGTGTCACTTGGTCACTTGGTCACTGGTTCTATAACAGTGTTTTGAGAGCAGCAGACGGAGGACTTTAACTCTGTTCTATTTCTGTACCCTAGAATTCATAAAGCCAGGTCACAGAGGACGTTATGGAGCCGACTCATTGTGGTATTAGCAAGGATAACAGAGCGCTCTGTTAGGTTACACACACTGCAATTAACTTTTAGCACTTTCTAAGTTTACCTGCTCGTACGGTATCCAGTCTCCAAAGGGAAGTGCATTACTGGGGCAAAGCTCACTTTCGAACGTTTCGGGACGAACTGGGTTTCACTGAGGCGACCACATAATCACAGGGTGAGGATTGGAATATCAATTGATGGATTTAGTTTGGAGAGACCCGTAAGCCACAATCACACAGGCACTTAAGACGAATGAGTGTATCAAAGGCCGCAAATTCGTGACTCGTAAATATTTATAAGCCACTTTTTGGGGCGATTATGCGTTTAATGGGAAACAGGCAGCACTAGTGCAGCGTTCTGGAGTGAACTGTGAGCCGTGTGAGGAAACAGCAGAGATTTCCAGGAGCAGCTCAGACAGAGAGAAAAATTGCACAGTTACTGTGAGTTTTCTCGGCACATTGTAATGGCGAATTAGGGGATGCTTTGGTGATCGGGGAGGGAGGAATTTTTTAAAATAACTGACATTTTAAGGTCTTGTGGGAGACGGAAGAAGAACAGTGTGTGAGTCTGATGTCACACTTTTAATGTTTCATTATTTAAATAATGAAAGGCCAAAATCCTTTTTCTTTAAAGTTAAGATAAGGGTTAGGATAAGGTTAGGCACATTTAGATAATTCATATCTAACATATAAATCAGTGGTAAACCATGAGTTTCAGTTCCAGCCATAAATGTCAAAACTGTCAAAAACATGGAATAAAAACAACCTCTACAATAAGCTAGCACCCTTGTGGAATTCTAATGCTATGACTCAGAAACATCTTTTGCTGTTCTAGATTAAATGTGCACATTTGAAGGTTGTAAAAGCCATATTAACAGCTAACAGGCCTACCCAATGGGAATCATATATATATATATATATATATATATATATATATATACATATATATATATATATATATATATATATATATATATGATTTTATATTACAAATCCATATGTACATATCGTCGATGCCCAAACTTATATCTCAAAAATAGTTACTTGACAGGAGAGGGCAAAAACATTCTTTACTTTCAGTGTAAGTTAATGGAAAGAGATTTTATTCCAAGCAATTTTAGAGCATTTCTATTGGTCCATTCATCATAAAATTTTCACACAATGTGAAGGACAGTTGCTGAGCTCAAATGGTGCAGAAAAGTAAAAATAGCAAAAAAATGGAGATGCATGTTTTTCATTGGACAGCGATGATATATTTCATACATACAGGAGCTTACATATAGATATTTAGATATATAATACATATGAGACATCATTATTACATGTAAGTACTTAGATATATGGTATATAAAACATAGGGGGGATTTTACAATACATTGGGGCCTAAATATAGTCTTAACTTTGAATGAAAATTATTATAACTACATTTTTTTCAAAGCACTTTTGGAGCATTTTTATTGGTCTGATCACCATGAAATGTTAACCTTTTCAAATTCTGTTAAAAATGACAAAATCAGGGTAGGTTTTGATCTGATAGCGATAAAATAATACATATGAGACATTTGTATGACCTGCTATCCTGACATAAAAACAAGTGTGTGAGCGTGTGTGTACATCTCAACTGCTCTGACCGATGTCCATTTACCACACTAGACTGCAGAAAGATGCAGCCACACTTGCCTTTCTACGCCAGTGAAATTGATATAGCAGGGTAGATTCCTGGAAAAGCCGCAGCGCTAAGACAGAAGGAGCTGGAGGAGAGGAGAGGAGAGGAGAGATGAGAGAGGGAAGAGTACAGCAAGTCTGGCTAGGCCTCTTAAGCAACTGCATTCATTTTTTTTTTTTTCTTTTTTTTTGCAACATTCATTGTTTTTTATGACAGAGTACCAAAAGTTGAAACCGTGCTCTGGTGCGTGCGTCATTAAAGACTAACGTTGTATAGATCGGTTTCATACTAATGCTAACATCATCAAACTACATCTGGTGCACTCTTAAAAACTAAAGGTGCCAAAAAGGGTTCTTTGGAGTGATGCCATTGGAGAACCACTTTTGGACCCCTACGGAACCTGTCAAGTTGATGTCTTTAAAGAACTATCCATAAAAAAGTTATTTAGGGAACCTTTACTATTGCATTTGTTCCAAAGAACCCTTAGTGGCACCCTTTATTTTTAAGAGTCTAGGATCTTTGACTCGACCATGGCCTCTGAATAACCTTAGCTACCTCATGCATCAACAATGTGGTGATTTCAGCCTTTCAGAAGTGATGCCAGTAATAAGCAGTAACGTATCTGAACTCTGAGCACTGTCCATTTGGTTGCACTCTATATGCCGGAGAACAAAAAAAGACCACAGTCCACTCAAGAACCTTGGCCACATATCAACTTTTGCTCTTAATCTTGAAATAGGCCTGTCCCTCAGGACCATGTGTGTGTGTGTGTGTGTGTGTGTCTGACCTAGGGGCTCTTCCTGCATGAGGTCATATCCCAACAGGAAACATTCATCACCATTTAAAGGAAAAACACCCCACAAAGTTTCGGCCGAACAAATGCAGGAAAGAATGGAAAATGTTGGAAATGGCTACAAAGAAATGCTTCAGATGTGACTTATGAAGTCAATTACTCCAGCACGGTGAGGCATATTCAGGACACAAAGCATATTGCCAGAGGAGAAGCTGGTCAGTGAAAGTCTGTGTAGGTGAGGCGTTTTTCCATCGGAGAGTGCAGAGCGATACGGTACAGTTACAGATCCATGATCACCCATTTTGTCATCATTTATATTGCCGAGTGAACTGTAACATAATCAAGTACCTGTGCTGAATTTGGTTACTCTTCTCGCTGTGTGACCATGCAGAGATGTGCATTTCAACTAATTTTGTTGTTTGAGTATCGGTAGGAGCTAATGATAATAGCTAAGCTGCGGAATGAATAAATAACGCAAAAAAAAAAAAGGAAACAGACTTCGTACAAATGAACGTAGGGCTGTAGGCTTACTTTTTAAGTGACAACACTGGTGTTAACAAAAAATTTGCAACACAGATGAAATACGTCGAAAACATGTTTGATTATTCAAAAATTAGGGGTGGGGAGATATCATGTAATACAAAGGCTAGTATCCTGATACTGCTACTTTTAAAAGGATGAATTCTTCGTGATTTCTACTGTAAAAAATGGACATTAAAATCATATTTGAGATCTTTTGCATTAGTATTAATCAACTAGAATGAACTGCATCAATTATGGAATGTTAGAATGGAGTACAGTTGTTTATAATAACATAATTGTATGTAATACAACTTTTACATGCTGCTGTTGGAAGAAACCCTCTTCAAAAGTGCTAATGAGCTAACAGAGCTAATCTGTTCAGCATTGGATGCTGATGGAGACTCATCGTTTTGTTCTTACATGTGGTCTTTTCTCATTAGTGGAAGATGTGGCAACAGTTTGTCAGAAAAATATCTTTTCATTATTTTCGCTTCACAAAAAAGCTGCGCCAGAGTCAGCTGGCTTCTCAGTCACGTTATAAGCTACGTGTCCTTGGCAATGTGCTCACGTTCATATAACTTGCTGGTATTTCGGAGTAGCAGAGTGTAATATTATTTACATACTCACAAACACAAGCTGTCAAAAACATTTTCTGGTTATGATCAAACACAAAATTGGAGTTTCACTGAATTGCTGGTTCTTCATCTTCCAGTGTTGAAACGTAACAAATACTCGAATAGTCATTTCAGTATTCAAATACTGATGCCTTGAATGGTTAACTGGGTATTCGAATACCTGTACATAGGAGGAGTTAGTAATGGCGCAATATATATGTTGTCGGAAGAAAACCTCGTATCTCCAAAATGGTAACTTTACAGGAAAAGGACAAAACCTACTTTACTTTTAATGTACATCAATGGAACCAGACTTTTTTCCAAGTCATTTTGGGACATTTCTTTTGGTCCATTTGACGTGAAATTTACATACAATGTAAAGGGCAACAGGCATTTTCAAATTATGTCAAAAACTAAAAAAAAGGCCAAAATGGAGATACGAGGTTTTCTTCCAACAGCAGCAATACATAAAAAACACTAGCTAGCTAGTATTGCTGACTGCAACTCTTACATAAAAGCAAATGCTCCTCCATTGTGGTTACAATACCACACAAAAAGAGAACCTCGCCTACTTTAACGGCTCTGATATGCGATGAGAAGCAGATACTCGAGGAGGGTACGGACAGTTCTAGGTTCAGTGAGACTGTGTAATATGTATGTTTGTGCATCTGATCATGTTGCACTCTCTCCTGCAGCTCTCCTTGATGGTCAAAGTGATTCCCAGTCCTGATTGGTTCGTGGGTGTGGACAGCCTAAACCTGTGCGAGGGGGGGCAGTGGAAACAGGAAGTGACCTTCGACCTGCATCCGTTTGACGCTGGGACAGACAGCGGCTTTACTTTCTCTTCGCCCAACTTTCCCACGACACCCCCCGAGAACATCACCATGGTGAGACGGCTAGGGCTGTGAAAATGCATCAGTGCACTGTAATGCATCTACCTGAAGGTGTGGATTTCAGTGAGGAACCTGCAGGGCCTTTTAGGCCTTTAGAGCCTTCTGGAAACAAAAAAACACTGAGAGTCTTGTGGTGATACTCTTACTTCATAAGAACGTTTTGCTTGGAAGTAAAAGGGTTAAGATTGTGAAAAGTCCAATGTAAAATTGTCCAATCAGGATTTTTTCCCCCGTGGTATCTAGGCAGATCCAGTAGTGAACTCTTCTATTGGTCAGGCCTTCAGGAACTGGACAGAAGGCTTATCTTGTCAGATTAACTATGAACATAATTAGGAGCTGACAGTAGAATCAACCAAATGATGTTTTGATTTACAGTTGGAGGGATCAGTTTTATTAGAACACACTTTTTTTGCTATTTTTTCTGGAAGTCCTCCTGGATACATGGCTGACTGTGAAAATGAGCTGTAGTCTAATAGTTTGCTCTATGCCAGGGCTCTTTACTGACAGTCACAGTAAAACTGCAACATAAAAGGTAGAATATATCACTGTTGTCGTAAGAAAACCTTGTATCTCTGAAATGGTAACTTTACAGGAGAAGGAAAAAACCTACTTTACTTTTAATGTAAGTCAATGGAACCAGATTTTTTTCCAAGTCATTTTGGGCCATTTCTTTTAGTCCATTCATCATAAAATTTAAATACAATGTAAAAAGCAACAGGTATTTTCAAATGATGTCAAAAACTGAAAAACGTCAACAATGGAGATACGAGGTTTTCTTACGACAACAGCGATATGTTAATGTAATTTACGAACTTCAAACAAAATGTATGGAATATTTTTTTTACAAGCCTCAGATAGCATTAACATAGAGGTGTAATTTTATGTTTTTTTTTTTTATTTATCTAATCAACTAGAATCAACTGCATCAATTATGGAATGTTAGAATGGAGTATAGTTGTTTATAATAATATAATTGTATGTAATACAACTTTTACATGTTGCTGCTGTTGGAAGAAACCCTCATATCTCCATTTTTGTTGTTTTTCAGGTTATGACATAATTTGAAAATGCCCGTTGTCCTTTACATTGTGTGTAAATTTCATGATGAATGGACCAAAGGAAACAGCTCCATATGAATTGGGAAAAAAGTCTGTTTCCATTGACTTACATTAGAAATAAAGTAGGTTTTTTTCTTTTCCTGTAAAGTTACAATTTTGGAAATGCAAGGTTTTCTTCAGACAACAGTGATATATTAATAATTTAAATGTTACATAAAATATACATTTCTCAGGTTTTGTTTTGAGATTAATATATTGAGCTGGATGGCTCTAGTCGTATGACATCACTTGGGTGAAGATAGCTTCAAAATTATTTTTGTTTTTCTTTTTAAAATGTAGATTACGTCTCAGAAGCCAAACCACCCAGCCAACTCCTTCTATTACCCACGGCTGCCGGAGCTGCCGCCACTGGCCACCATATGGCTGAAGAGACAGACTCGCTTACCTGTCCGTCAACACAACCACGTGTCCAATCACATTCTGCCACATCACACCAAGCCCCAGAAATTCTCAGGTGAAAATCCAGTGTATTAGAGAGGAACCAGGGTGCTATTTAACAAAGCTTATTTCTTAGTAAGCTGGATAACTGGAGCCAAAAGTAAGGATTTCAGGATTCCAATAAGAACGTTCCTGATCTGTTCTCCTCTTGAACAGACTTGACTTTTGGCCTAAATGATCTGGTTACCTGAGAAATTGTGAAATATCCCACCAGTGTATATATCACTAGAACATTTCTCAGTCTGTTAAAATGGCTTAAAGTTATTTACATTTTGAAATAATTCCCAAATTGGACTCTGATAATATAAGTCTGCTTATGGAGTCCTATTATTTTCTTTGTTTGCATTGATTGTCAGTGTGTGAAACTGTAAACTCAAGCTCTCAGAGGAGCATCACTGATGTGCATTGCCATAAGCATGCCTTTGTTCACTGCTTCTCTTTAAAGAAAACACTTATTTGTGTGACGCTCTCTGCATGGGTCCCCTGATGTTCTCAGGCTTAAAAGCACTGGGCTTTTTCCCAGTCCACTCCTGTGGAGAATCAAGAGTGAACATTTGGAATTTGTTTTAGCTGAGCTTCGTTTTGGTGTTGTTGTTTAAGTGGATGTCAAACACAGTATACAAACAAGACAGGCTCAAGAATGTGCATGTCCTCTTGTTTAGATTGACTCACAAAACAACCTTTGCGTAACATTTGAATTTGAAAATAAAATCTAGTGAAAAATGAATGAAAGATAATCCAGGTCAATAAGCATTAGATAAATAAGACCAGGCTCATTTGTTTCCCACTGGCATTTATTCACCAGCAGTAATATCAGCATTTTTGGTGAACTAATCCTTAAAGTTATGGTTCATGCAAGAGTCAGATTTATGCTACTTTATTCTTACCCCAGCTAACAAGTAATAAGACCCCCTAGTTGAGCAACTTAGCAAACTGTATGCCTAAATCATTACACATTGGCCTCAAACAGCATCGGGTTGTTAAGTAATTTCAAATGGACTTGCATAGAACTTTATTGAAGGGCAACATTCAGAAGGATACATGACACCTACGTAAAGCTGTACGCAAAAGTCTGGGCACCCCTGACCTAACTACATATTTTGTTGGTTTTTGAAGTGAAAAGAGGTAAAGATAAAGTATTTAAAGGGCCCATATCTTACATTTGTTTGGTTTTATGTACCAAAAACAGTCATAATACATTTTTACATGACGGTTTTTCAACCTCTCTTTATCCCTTAAAATTAAACAGGCTGTTTTTGTTACTATGTCTTTCATACTGATCTATGCAAATGACCTCCTTTCTGTCTGGCTGCTTTCTATTGTGACTCATTCAAAAAGCAGTCTAGGCTGAAACACTCCTCATAACGTTGCCGTGAGTGGGCGGGGCTAAAATGCTGTAGGCTGTAGAGGAGGATATATGTAAATTATTTGTTGTTTCATGACATCACAAAAAAATTACCTCAAAAAGGGCCGTTTTGCAGCTTAGTTTTCATATATATGGATTGTATAGGCTCTTTATATAATGTATCAAACTCCTATTTAAAAAAGCAAGGAGAATGTTTTATGGTGATATGGGTCCTTAAAAAAATAACATTTTTTTCTGCTATTGCGCAGTTAATTTATATTTGATTTAACAAAAAAATATAAATAAATAAGATAGTAATTATAAGCCTTTCATGCCAACTGACATAAACCTACCTTCAAAGCCACTGCAAAACTTTGGGAACCAAACATGTGAATAAAAATGGTGTGAATTTGTTTAATAAATAACCTCACGAGTGTCCTCAGTGTTCACTCTTGGTCTGTGTCCTTGCAGAGACGCCGCTGGACTGTGAGGTGTCCCTGTGGTCATCATGGGGTCTGTGCGTGGGGCCGTGTTCCCGTGGAGGTCTGCGCCACCGCACCCGCTACATCCTGCTGAAACCGGCCAACAGTGGTACCCCCTGCCCGGAGCTGGAAGAACAGGCTGAGTGCATGCCACACAACTGCTTGGCACAGCAGTGATGCCTGTCTCAGCGCTGGCACAGACACTCTGACCCTGTCCAGAATGAGGGCCGCTTTGAGACGCATGCCATTGCTAAGTCAAAGCCACAGAAAGGCAGAGGTCACCGCGAAGGGTGGCCCGACGCACCGGCCTGCCTGGAAAAGAACGGCTTGTTTATTCTGTTCATAGAGAGACTTTGATCATAGCTACTGCATTTACAGTAAGCGCAGTGTATCGACAAATAATCATACATACATCGTGTTTTGCAGCCACAGTTATTAAGGAAATTGTTTTATTTTTCAGTAGCCAACTTTTCACATGTCAAATGTAGGCTATGTTGAAATTAATTTAGTGTTAATTTCATTTAACAAAGCACCGAGACAAAAGTTCTTTAGTTGTGGAATGAATTGATCAATAGTGCTCTCCAGCAGTGGACCTACAAGAAGCCCATTGCAACTGAAATCTTACATTTGGAAAGATACGATGGGTTGTTTTTATTAGACTGACAATCTGAACCATGTCTAAGTTCAGTTTGACTACGTAATCCTATATATTGTATTTGTTCCCTCCTTAGGGACCTTTTGTAGAGTTGTATATATCTTTTTTGTCAATTCCTTTAATAAATGTGGGGTTGTTTTCCTTAATTAATAGACTGTTGTTGAATATACTTACGCAATCTACACAAATGCAGCCCACTCACACATAGACATACGTCCAAACAGCAGTTAGAAGCCAAGAAATTCATCAAGGCCAGTGTTTCTAAAATTCATGCTGGCATGACTATTGCTGTCTTGTACTTTGCACAAAGGTTTTAAATACCCTCTCACATTTATATTTACCACTGCAGGACATTTACTTAATATAGAAGTTATTACAATAATGTCACATGGTCTTCATAAATAGTATGTTTAGGAATGACTAACAAGGGTGAGAGCCACCAGAGGGTTATTAAATACGAACATACATTCTTAACTGCAAACGTAGTTGATCGACTGTTGCTCTAGAAATGAATTTGACATTCAGTTCGTATTTATGTAAAGCATAAATATGAACTGAATGTTATGCATGTAATGCATGAACCCCTGTGTGTGAACATCACTACTTTATGTCTCGTGCTTTTGCAGTTCATACTTTGTCACACACTCATTCTTTTTAGTAGTTTTGCAGTCAAATTGAAGCTGCAGGTGCTCACATGCCGTTGCTAAGTCAAAGCCACAGAAAGAGGTCAACGTGAAGGGTGGCCCGATGCACCGGCCTGCCTGGAAAAGAACGGCTTGTTTATTCTGTTCATAGAGAGACTTTGATCAAAACTACTGCATTACAGTAAGCGCAGCGTATCGACAAATAATCATACATACATGGTGTTTTGCAGCCACAGTTATTAAGGAAATTGTTTTATTTTTCAATACCCAACTTTGCAAGAACACCTGTATGTGAACATCATTACTTGCCTCATGCTTTTGCAGTTCATATTTTGTCACACACTCATTCTTTTTAGTAGTTTTGCAGTCAAATTGAAGGTGCAGGTGCCCGAGAGCTCCTTATTTTTCTGTTATTTCTTAATAGGACATAGAAATGAAATACACTGAAAGAAAATACTATAACTTAAAGCAGCAGTATGTAATATTTTTTGTTAAAACTCAAAGAAGCAGCATGGAGAAAAAAGACCACCCTAAAATGTGGTCAGTGTGCACCACTGTGAATCGGCCTGTGAAGCCTGAAATAATCATTTAAAAGTAAGAGGTACTGGGGCGGACTTAGTGGGAGTTTTTCGGACCACGTCATAAGTCTTTACGCTTTGACGTCACACACAGGCTCAAGAAGGAGGTCTGGCTCAATGTTTAGGTCTCAAATGCAAAGTCAACATTATACTGATGAAGATACAATGACAATAGTGGATAATTCACTCAGTTTTGACTGAGCTCTCTTCAAATACTCTTTCAGCACACTTGCGAAAGTCAGTTTCATTCGCTGGTGGGTGTCCAAAGCTCAACCGACATTAAAAAATGTTCTTCCGTACGTTGCATGCAATCATACATTTCCACCAGAGAGGTCTCCAAATCCCTAAATCCTACATAGTGTTACTTTAAAAGAGCCATATTCTATGTTTTTCTTGTATTAAGTGTTTTCCCTGAGGTAGACTTTTGATGTTTGTGTGGGTTTATGTACAAAAAAAGGTCAGACTTCTTTTACCCCTCAGAATTAAACAGGCTATGTTTGTTACTGTGCCTTTAAAGGCCTATTCACACTGTTAGATCGTGGGTGGTGATAAAGGCGAGGCTCAGTACACACACCGAGAATGTTTCTCTAAACACTCTGAGAATGAAAAAAGAGAATGTGTCATTGAGGTTTTTTTATGTTTTTGTAACATCATCAGCTACAAATAACATATAGATGCGAATGATTCATTAAGCAAGAGAAGCTAATAGTTCACAGCTTTTCTCAGGCTTGAACATACTAGGATACATCTAGATAAACAAAACTACAACTACAACAACTATAAAAAAACAGCTATAAACAGTTGGTGTGTTGTAATAAGTTACTCTGTGCAGCCTTTCAGGAATGGACTTACTTTAACTTTCGTGTTTTATAGTTAACATGTTGCTTGTCGTGTAAGCCTTTGTGGTCGGCCACAAGCAAAATGAACTGTTCTGTTTATATCTCGATGCCCGTACGCTTGGACTGAAGTGGAGCTCAGACTGGTCAGCATGATTTTTAATCCAATTGGTCAATCTGATTTTTTTTCCAATCCTGGGTTGTTCATACACCCAGAAAATTGAGCTGGGTCTGATTAAAACATTTATGCAGTGTCACAGTGCATCAGATCTAGATTTGAAGTGAAAGGTGACATTAAGACATATGTGGTTGTTTTCAAAAGTTGACATGCATGTTTTTTATCTGTAAAAATCATTGTGAATAGGTTATAGTAGTGATATACGTAAATAGCCTCTGTACTTATTGACTGTTCTGTACTGTGCCTCATTTAAAAAGCAGTCTTGGCTGAAACATTCCTTATAACTTCAGTCTGAATGGGTTGGGGCTAAACTGCTTTAGGCTGAATAGGTGGTCATATGTAAATGCAATACTTTTGATGTCATCTCAAAAACAATGAATTACAAATGGACTTTTTTGCCGCTTAGTTTCACTGGGAGTGAATGGTATGTTTTGAAACTTTAACAATATTTGCATACTCACTTTTTCACAGAAGTGAGGAACATTCAGTTTTTCACAATATGGCACCCTTATTGCTTCAATGAAGTGTTGACAAGTATTTTAGAAGATGGCATGTCACCCTCTTGTGGCGAACACAAGGTCTCTTTTTGAAGGTAAAAGAAAGAGTCGGACCTGAAGACACCCATTTGTCATCAGGGTGATTTAAGGTACAAAATCAACAGTAGTTCATAGCAAGGTAACTTTAAAATGGCTTTTTCCTAGTGACTCACCGAGTCCTACCCCCTCCCCTCCAACACCCCTTCCAACAACACACACACCAGGTGTACGCAGTGAACTAACTGCTCACAGCTTAACATGATTACAGGTAACATGAAGCGGCACTCATATGGAGTGTTTCCCACAGCTCCTTAGAGACGCCTGCTCAACAGCTGTACAGGCAGGAGACTAGCCTAAACAAAGCAGAGGTCTCCCTTGAGATCTCCCCTCCATTTCCCCAAGGGGATACAAAACTATCCTTTAAATACAAGACTCAGCAGTCTGCCTCTAAAACCTAATGATAAGGCATAGGCTTAAAGGAGGTTTCATACTTCAAGCCCTGTGTAGGTTTACTAGGGCAGTGCTTTCCAATCCAGGGCCTGGAGTCCTGGAGTTTTAGTGTTTTCCTGCCTTAATACACTAATTTTACCTTCATAAAAAGTTTTGGGAATAGCTGATGAACTGAATCAGGCATGCAAGAGAAGGGAAAACACTAAAATGTGCAATCCGGGGTTAATCCAGTAGCAGGATTGGGAAACACTAAATTAGTGGACAAAGAGCTGTGTCTTAAAGGGGGCTGAATGTGGATGCGAAAGCTCTGGCGCCATCTAGAGGCCTGTCTTAAACGGTCATTTTCACAAAGCATTTTATGTCAAGTCTCAGGAGAGAATACAATTCCAAAAAGACTAATTAAACAATAGAAATTTACATGTAATGTATTATGGCCTTTTTTATTGCTTTTCTTAACTTTTTCGTTTAATTTCATCGCCATTTGAAAAGTTGCAATTGATTAAATGCTCGGCAGAGGTCGCTGTTACACTTCAGGCCTGAGCTTCATTTCCACGACCTCCTTCGTCTGAATGCGTATTTTTAAATTAGTTGAAGCTCTGTGCTCCTGAGTGGCTGACTGCAAAAAAAAACAAAAAAAAAAAAAAAAAAACATCTTAAATCTAGTCAACATACCTAATATTTCTCATTTTGAGACTGTAAGAATATTGTTAGATTATTTCCATTAAGTAATTTCATTAAGTGTAATTATCATACTGTATTGGTGAATAATAAGAAATAATGCGATAATGCTTTAAACAAGCAATAAGGCTTTAAACAAGCAAAATTATCTGCCAGTATAGTGAGATAATTAGGTAATTAGGGGATTTGGGGTTTGACATGCTGATATTAGGCTCATGGGGCCCTAAGCAGCTGCCTACCTTGCCTAGTGCAAAGACTGCCTGTACTTCTGCCTTAAAAAAAAACATTACCAGTGTCTAGTAGTGCATTGTCACACCTTAATAAAAGATTTCACATATTGTTAATATTTTACATCAACGTCTATACTTGTTCATTGAGAAAATAAACAAAGAACAGGCTCTTGTAGAAAGGAAGTAGCAAAGCTTTAACACTTTAGAATAGGACTTCTTATGCCGGCATATTTCTTGTGAGTTTTCTGATGTATTCAAGCTGCAAAAAACATCCATTCATATTCATCACGCAAGTAACATTGTCATTGGCTGATGAAAGCAACAAAATGCAGTAAATTTGTGTATCACTTCGCCTGAACTCTTTATATTTTACATCTCTGCCTAATTTTCTTTTTCTTTTTCTTTAATTGCCACCCCTCAGCTCCGTCTTGCCTTTTAAATGGCCCATATCCTATATCAATCAGCCATAACATTTAAACCACCTCCTCGTTTCCACACTCATTGTCCATTTTATCACCTCCACCTACCATATAGGAGCACTTTGTAGTTCTACAGTTACAGACTGTAGTCCATCTGTTTCTCTGCATACTTGGTTAGCCCCCTTTCACCCTGTTCTTCAGTGGTCAGGACCCCCACAGGACCCTCACAGAGCAGGTACTATTTGGGTGGTGGATGATTCTCAGCACTGTAGTAACACTGACGTGGTGGTGGTGTGATAGTGTGTGTTGCGCTGGTCTGAGTGGATCAGACACAGCAGTGCTGCTGGAGTTTTTAAACACCTCGGTGTCACTGCTGGACTGAGAATAGTCCACCAACCAAAAATATCCAGCCACCATCATCCTGTGGGCAGCGTCCCGTGACCACTGATGACGGCCTAAAGGATGACCAACACAAACTGTGCAGCAGCAGATGAGCTATCGTCTCTGACTTTACATCTACAGGGTGGACCAAAAAGGTGTAGGTGTGTCTAATAGAGTGGACTGCTGTGTCTGATCCACTCATACCGGCACAACACA